ATCACTCTAGAGAACAGGAGATTAATTTTTGACCTAACATTAATTTTTAAAATATTAAACAATTTTATCGATAGTCCTGACCTATGTCCGCCTATGTTCCGCCCTAGGGAGGAAAGTGGTTACTTTCGTCCCGCTAATGCCGTCCTGGCGTGAAATGGCCACTCTCGCCTCTCTCTAGGCATGGAGGTCGAACTTTCCGTGGAGGTGTTGTAAAAACTTCATTTGTTTACTCTCTTAACATTACTTATTGTTTTTCTGATTGTATTTTTTATCTATTTTATTTAATTTTTATAAACTACATTTTTTTGTGTATATACTAAAGGGTTTTTCCGTAAATAAAGATTATTATTATTATTATCATTATCATTATCATTATCATTATCCCTATCCCTGTCCCTGTCTCTGTCCCTGTCCCTGTCCCTGTCCCTATCCCTATCTTTATCATTATCATTATCATTATTATTATTATTATTAAAGTAAGAATACATGTCCTAATCAAGGCCTGTTTATGTATCCCCAAGTTTTGGGTGTCGACACCAAAGTTTTGGTATCGACACTCGAATTTTGGTGTCGACAACCAAAGTTTCGGTGTCGACATTCAAATGTCGGTGTTAACACTGAAAATTTAGGCGTTGACACCGAAAATAGAGTGTAAACACCCAAAGTTGAGTGTAAACACCAAAATCTTGGGTGTTTTTTCGTAAGGGAATAATAATCAAATTGAGAATTTTTTCACTTTTGTTTATTCATTATCTGTAAGCTTACAATGTACGAAATAACTTATATTTCTGTGATTGCCTTTTGTATTTTAAAGATAAGGCGAACTGATGAGAGTGCTTTTATAATAAATAACTAACAATTTTTTATTTATAAAAATTACTTGTTTTCTGTAAATTATATTTTTATCACAAATTATTTTTATATATAATTATCTTAAAGATATTTAATTGAATATCTTTAATTTGCTACGTATAAATAAATTTATATTTATATATTTAAATATTACATTAGACAAATATCGATCATCGAACATTTAATTTATTATAATTAAACATGGCCAGATATCGTCATACCTAAACAGTTTTCGATCATACACAACCTCAGTTCGACTTATATCTGGACAGATATGATGAGATATAATGTATTTTGGATCGCGTTCAAGTATAGATATGGTTATATCTAAACAGATACAGTCAGATCTATACTGTTTCGATTAAATTCAATCACAGATATGGTTCGACTTGAGCAGCTATGATCCGATTTGAGGAGATAATGTCCGATCTAAGCCGTCGAAAACCAGATTACTCCCCATGTATAGTTATATATAATTATATATAAGCATATATGACCAGTTCTGCGCAGATGAGAAGTTATATCTGAGCATATCTGATCAAATAAAATTTGATCTGCTGAGATATTATTTGATCTAGTTAGATCTAATCCTTTTTTCCCAGGTGCTGACAGCCTACGATAAAACTAATAGAGTCCGCACAGAGCACGCTTGTCGACTATTGGGATTTGACATGGAGGCGGGGCTTAACCAAATATGGCGCAGAACGGCTAACACTTTCTCGTATAATGGGTCACTTTTTTCTTTACTCTCTTTCTCTCTTTCTGCATTTTTAATGCATTTTTACAGATTTTAAAACGATAAATTTTCTCTAAATTGCCAAATAAATGATTACATGTATAAAGCACTCCTTTTAGGGTTAGAAAAGCAATAAAATCAAACATTTAATGTTTTTGGAGTTTTATTTTTACAACTGCGAACTGAATAATTAATTCTACTCGTAGATCTTCAACGCGGAGAATAAGATTCAACATCCATAATAATAAAAATACAACTCAAAGCCGGTACGACCGCACGCCAAGCCTGTACATATGTACAATGCCACGAGATCTGTGAGCCTTCAGTGCTTTCGACCACCAGATGTCATGGCGACGAATGTCAGATCCCAATACGTTACGCTACGTTTCTATGATTTATTTTGTCTTTGTTTTCTTCCATCTGAGCGATTAGAGACACGCGCCACTTTTGTAATATGTGTGCAATAAAGCCCCTTGCACAATAGGCGATAGCGACAGCGACAAAGTTACCGACAAAGGTATAGTTTTGTCGGCAACCTTGTCGCTGTCGCTATCGCTATCGCTATCGCCTATTGTGCAAGGGGCTTAAATCGTACGTTTGTATATCCTATTTCTTTGCTCGTTCTTTTGCGTGATAACCTAGAGCCATTGTTCGTCTTGCCGTCTATCGGTGTATATCGCTTCTGCCCACAGTACGACAATTACAACAGCGATTTTGTTAAAAGACATAGTGATACGAGTATAATATCTATCCTGAAGTTCAAAGAAAAAGAAATACGATAGTGATGAGTCTGAAGAGATCTGAAATTGGATACTGTTGACGGCACGTAAAAAAACGTGATAGTGAGCGGACAAGTTGGTTGGTTAAGTGACAGAAAATTTATAATTTTAAAAATATGTAAGTAATTAAAATCTCTTTTAAACTATTATATACTCCAGACAGAATACGAAATTCTACAAGTATTCATTTATGTCCATTTCATGTCCGGGATGTACATGAACGTTATACATATATATCCATAGGGTATGATCATCATCATCATCGTGGCGTCACAGCCCTTGGTGGGCCATAGCCTTCTCCAGAATGCACCATTCGTCCCTATCAAGCGCCCTGCTTCTCCACCCCTTCACTCCAATCATCCGCAGGTCACTCTCTACTCCATCCAGAAATCTCGCTCTAGGTCTCCCTCGCCTACGCTGTCCATATATTTTCTCTAGCAGAGTCTTCTTAGCTGGATCTTGGTCAGGCAACCTCATCACATGCCCTACCCATCTCAGGCGCCCCACCTTGACGTGTTTCACCACATCCGGGCCCTGGAAGAGGCTATATAACTCATGGTTATATCTTCTTCTCCATGCTCCATTTTCCTTTATGGCCCCAAAGATTTTTCTCAGGATTTTTCGCTCAAAACATCCTAGAGCTGCTTCATCTCTTTTTGTTAGCGTCCATGTTTCTGATGCATATGTCAGTACTGGTCGTATATAATTATATAAGGGTTTTATATAATTTGCATTTAGTCGCCCTGGAGATATTGTGTGACCTTAGTTGCGGCATTAATGCAAAATAGCACCGGCTTGCAGATACGAT